TGTTTCACTCTTCGCTCTCTCTCTCTCTCTTTCGCTTTCTCTATTTTTTCACATTTTCGCTTTCTCACACCTCGCTTCTATCTTTCTCTCCCCCCTCTCTCCCTTTCTCCGTCCCTCCCTCTCCCTGTTTCCTCCCTCCTCTCATCCGTTCCATCTCTCTCCCCTTCCCTCCCCTCTCTGTTTCCTCCATCTACTCTCTCTCCTTCTCTTGTCCTCTCTCAACTTCTCTCTCTCTCATTCCCTCCCTCCCTCTCCCTGCTTCCTACCCTTCCTCCTCTCTCTATTTCCTTCTCTCCCTCTCCATGCTCCCTTCCCTTCGCACACTTCCTCCTCTCTCTCTCCTTCCATCCTACCCCCTCTCTCTCCTTCTATCCCTACCCCCTCTCTCTCTTCCTTCCATCCTACCCCTCTCTCTCCTTCCATCTTACCCCCTCTCTTCTCTCCTTCTGTCCTACCCTAATCCCCTCTCCTCTCTCTCCTCCCTCCTACTATAACCTCCATCCTACCCCCCCCCTCTCTCTCCTCCCTTTTCCCACTTTCCTCCTCTCTCTCTCCTTCCCTCCTACCTTCAACCTCCCTTCTACCACCCCCCTCCCTCTCCTCCAGATACCCCCCAGCCTCACCTGAACAGCATGAAGATGAACCAGAAGACGAACAGCAGGAGGGTCATGATCCCAGCGACTTTCCACTCCGGGAAGAAGGCCAGGGGGATGTCCTCCACCTCCCGGGCGTTCCTAAGGGCGCCTCGGTCCACGGGGGTAAGACCCAAGTCCCTCGTCAGCTCAGCTACTCTCCCTCGCGCCCTCTCGTTGTTGCCGCAAATGGGTACCTGGGGAAGGAAAGAATGGCAGGGAAGGTGGAGAGGTTTTAGTCTGAAAGGGTTAAGGGCTGGATTTGGTGCTATCGAAAACGGCCGTAAATATTCTTCCGTTTATTATAGAGTACGGTTCAGTTGTATTATTAACATCCGTTTTCTTTGTCATTTAAGTTTTAAGGCCCTATCACCCTAACACTTTTTCCGTCAATTTCTGGGGTTCCGTCAGAATTTTAGGCTTTCCGCATTTGAGGAACGCCTCCCAGACGGAGACGGTTACGCCCGTTTCCGTCTGACTAATTTCCGAATTGATCTTGTGCTATTAATGAATTAGATAGGATGAGTGAATGTAAACATAAGCTAATATTTTAGAACATTCGTATATACAATATACATCATATTTCTTTAAAATAACGTAATATGTATGAGAATGTTCGTGTGATTCCCGGGACCTCACTCCGATAGCGCCATGTTTGTTTACATGATTTCCAAACGGAGTTCATTCGGAAACGAAAAAAATGACGGAAAAAGTGCTAGCGTGATAGGGCCTTTAGAGACCGGCGGAATTGCTGATACGGAAAAGCGGCCAGCCCTGTATTTAGGGTAAAATTAGTACGTGAGGGAAATGGCTGTTGGGTAAATAGGACAATCTTAACTCAGCGAATCCAGTCTTTTGAATTATAAATCCCTTCGATAATCCTCTTTAAATTGCCAGATTGATGAAGGGCGATCTTGACATCACATATCAAGTAATCACAGACTTGTCACTCTTTATTGTTGAAGGATAATTAATTATTTGGTCTCGCGGAGAGCTCACTTCAGCACCACTGAGTTCTAATTCGAACGCAGTATTGCCACCATTACCGCAAATGATACGAAGACGACGCCAGGGCCAAGATTTCGGCGTTATTGGAGATAAAGATTAATAATTACCTGTATATCATGAGGTACGAATTTATACCAAACTGTAATACAAGTAATAAATTTGCAAAGAAAAAGAAAGAAAGAAAGAAGCAAGTACAGTGCAGACGTTATTATGATTAATAAATAAGTAATCGGAAGTCGAGGCTCCATCACCGCTTTCGCATGGGTTTGCGTACTCGAGTGTTCATGAGTAAGAATATCTGGAATGAGAGAGAGAGAGAGAGAGAGAGAGAGAGAGAGAGAGAGAGAGAGAGAGAGAGAGAGAGAGAGAGAGAGGAGAGAGGAGAGAGAGAGAGAGAGAGAGAGAGAGAGAGAGAGAGAGAGAGATGAGAGAGAGAGAGAGAGAGAGAGAGAGAGAGGAGAGAGAGAGAGAGAGAGAGAGAGAGAGGAGAAGAGAGAGAGAGAGAGGAGAGAGAAGAGAGAGAAGAGAGAAAGAAGAAGAACGAGAGAAGAAGAGAAAAAGAAAAGGAAAGAAAGAAAGAAAAGAAAAAGAAAAAGAAAGAAAGAAGAAAGAAAGAAGAAAGAAAGAAAGAAAGAAAAGAAAAAGAAAGGAAAATGAAAGAAAGAAAGAAAAGAAAGGAAGAAAAAAAGATTATCTTCCTCCCAGTTCCCATTCCCTCGAAACTTTGCCCTATGACCTTACCTCCCGGCTGCCCTGGATATTGCCGTGCTGGAGGGCGTAGGCTGAGATCGTGTTGAAGGCCTTGACCACGTGACTCTCCGGTAGAACCTCCTGAAGTCTTTCGGCGAGGCTGAGGTCCTTGGAGGAGGAACCCGGGGATCTAGGATGAACGGAAGAGAAGTTGGCGGTGTTTTGTTTATTTTTTATTTATTTATTTATTTTTTAAGAGGAAGAGAAGTTAGCGGTATTTTATTATTTTTTTATTATCTATTTATTTTTTAAGAGGAAGAGCAGTTAGCGGTGTTTTTTTTATTTATTTATTTATTGTTTTTAGGAAAATCGTTATTGAAGATAATGGTTGAAAGATTATTGCTGAAGATAATGGTTTTAAAAATTATTATTGAAGATGATGGTTGACGAATTTTTTACTAAAACAAATATTATTAAAGATAATAGTTGAAAAAAATATTGAAGATAATGGTCGAAAAAATGAATTGAACATGATTAAAAAAAATACTGAAGATATTTGAAAATATAATATTGAAGATAATCGTTGAAAAAATAATTGAAGATGTTTGAAAAATTATTATTGAAGATAATGTTTGAAAAAAAGAAATTGAAGATAATATTTGAAAAATACCGCTAAAGATAATGGTTGAAAAATCATTATTGAAGATAATGGTTGAAAAAATAATTGAAAATAATGGTTGAAAATCCCTTGAAAAATACGGTTAAAAACTCAAAACCCACTGAAATAAAGGTTAAAAACTCAATGAAAATAATTGTTGAAAAAATGTAGACTGAAGATACTGGTTGAAAAACTGTTACCGAAGACAATGGTTAAAACAAAGAAAGAAAGAAAAAGATACAAGGAGATAATAGTTAAAAAAAGTTAGGAGAATCTATAATCGATAACAGTGCTATAATCCTTATATTCCACACTTTTACCTGTTACTGATATCCACCACAATTTTGTTTTTGAGTTCCTGGCGAGGTAAAGAATGATGGTGATCAGCGGGGATGGCCAGGATCACCATATCACTGTGAGAAAGTGCTTCGTTCACTGTCGTCACCATAGCAACCTCCTTCAACCGGCCTCTGCGTTGAAGGAATAGTGTTATGAAAAGAAAGTGAGGCGGAAAATACGATAAGTGATATAGCTTTATGGGGGAAAAAAGTGAGGGTACATTTATCGAAAATTGAATGAAATGTCAGTCCCCTTTTTCAAGTATATATTTTTTTTATTAGTTACCCGTACATCTCTTGTTTTCTGTTGGATATAAAATGTTGGATTTTGATTTAAAGAAAATATGTGATATAGCTTTAAAAGGGGAAAAAAAGTGAGGGTACATTAATAGAAATTGAAAATTGAATGAAATGGCGTTCCCTTTTCATATAGATTTTTATATTAGTTACCCGTACACCTCTTGCTTTCTGTTGGATAATCAGATGTTGAGTTTTAATTTGAGTTTTAATTTAATTTTCTTTCCACGCCTATCCACTCACTTCAGTCACTTCAACGTCAAATTTTACTAAGAAATACAGAAGCACCAAGGCAGCACGTCAGACTCATATCACACTCATGTTACTCCTATGAAATAAGTCATGCAATGTTAAATAGACTCGTGTATTCTGTGTATTCTGTTCTCTAAGTATTTACACACGAAGCGCCACAATCTGATTTTAGAATTCATGCACGAAACACACACACATGCATTTTTTTTTTCTTTTTAAGAATTCATGAACGAAACACTTAGCATGTATCTCTCTCTCTCTCTCTCTCTCTCTCTCTCTCTCTCTTCTCTCTCTCTCTCTCTCTCTCTCTCTCTCTCTCTCTCTCTCTCTCTTTTAAACTCACGAAGGAAACACTACAGTCTTGCATATCTTTTTTAAAAGTATTCATGAACGAACCACATCCATGCATATTTATTTTCTTTAATTCATGAACGAAACACAAGTCATTCGTCCTTCCCGGATTGTTCATACTCTAAATACTACTACAGTCATGCACTCTCATTCTTATTCCCTAAACTTTCATGGTTCCAGATTTTGTAAGAAAGGATAAAAAAAAAAATAACAACAGGTAATAAAAAAAACCCGACAAATAGACAGACATTTACAAACGACAGTCATGCAGGTACAGAAGCACAACTACAGTCATGCAGTCCTTTCCCTAGCACAACTAGCCATCCCATGCAGTCCCTTACCTAGCACAACTTCCATGCAGTCCCTTACCTAGCACAACTAGCCATGCAACCTAGCACAACTAGCCATGCAATCCCATGCAGTCCCTTACCTAGCCCGGTCTGGGTTCCTGCTCCCGACCACAGGCTGAAGACGTGACCTGCTCATGGCAATAGACAAGGCCAGGGTCATGTCACCGCTGCCCATGAACACCACTTTTCTGTTCTTGTTCACCTCGGAAACTCTCTGAAGATCACCACTTTTATCACCACTTTCTCCGTCACCTTTTTCTCGTTCTGCGCTCGACGTGGGGGGGCGGAGGCTCGTCTCGTCATGCAGGTTAGTGTCATGTGTCTCGTAGGCTGTGTTGGTGACGCCGTCTGCGAGCTCCATTTTGGATTTTTTTTTTTTTTTTTCTTTTTTTTTGGTGCTGATTTGGTTTCTTTGGTTTTATTCTGGGTTCTGTAAATAAAAATGAAAAGTAGGTAATAATAGTAAGAGTAATAGCACACACACGAACACACGCGCACGCACACACACACGCACCACACACGCACGCATACACGCACACACACACACAAACAAACAATAAATTACACATAATCTAGAAGCACCCAGGTCACTAATGCAATAAATTATTTACATAAAAAATAACATTAAATTCACCCTTTTCTCACGTACGCTGGTGACGTCAGCAACCACAACCTTCTTGGCTGAGTTAGTACAAGTAATGATGATAATAACAGTTATTGCCATATTGCCTTGGTATTAAGGGTAACTGATGCAATCAATGAGATAATGCCTGGTTCTTGATTGCCAAATTTTAATGGCATCTAGGCTAAGACACATCAATGGTGAAAATTTAATAAAAATCTCTTCATAACTTTTGGAGTTGTTCTGCTAAGAAACTAACAAACTAACCAACGCTACCAAAGCATAATTTCCTTGGCGGTGGTACAAATGGTCACCCGAGAAACATTTGCGATATAGACGAAGAAACAAAATAACAAAAAGAAAGAAAGAAAGAAAGAAAAAAATCCATTTAACTCTTCAACTCCTAACCAGTTCATTTCTACTTCGAAACAGTAACATGAACTAGAGAACGAAAAATAAATATAAAAATAAGTAAACTAACTGATTAGAAGATAAATAGAAAAAAAATTGAAATATAAGATATCGACATTTAAATTTGACTCCGCGCCTGCTAAAATGTCGTTGAAAATGGCGGGAACTTTTGTATAGCGTCGAGGCTTAGCATGTGGCTCTCTTTTTCACAAAACTTCTCAAACACTAATCTCAGTTCGGTGAAAAAGTTTTTTTTTTTAGTTCTATTCTTTTTAATGAAGAGTATTAGAAAAGTTGTATAGTTTTTTCCTTGTTGGTGAATTCAAAGGCAGATTGGAAATAATTAGGGACAGAGAGATGATAAGATGAGAGAGAGAGAGAGAGAGAGAGAGAGAGAGAGAGAGAGAGAGAGAGAGAGAGAGAGAGAGAGAGAGATAGAGAGAGAGAGAGAGAGAAAGATAGAAGAGAGAGAGAATAGATAGAGAGAGAGATAAATATAATACATATATGTATATGCACACACACACACACACACAGATGTGTGTGTATATATATATATATATATATATATATATATATATATATATATATATATATATATATATATATATATATATATCACATATATATGTGTGTGTGTACAAAGGCAAGGGAGTGAGAAAATTCGAAAAAGAGCGAAAAAGAGAAAGAATTCACAAACGACCTATTTCTCTGTCATTCTGCACTGCCCTTCGCATTTTTCTAATCTCACCTTAATTAACTCTCAAGCATTTTCTGTTGATACACGAAAGAGAATTAAAGCAGAAATGAGTCAAGTGAAATGAGTAAGTGAAATGATTAACTTATACCTTTAATCCGAATCTTGTATTATTGTAGACATTATTATTATTATCATTATTATCTTCATCATCATTATTATCATTATCATTATCATTATCTTCATCATTATTATTGTTATTATTATTATTATCACTACTACTACTATTATTCTCTTATGATCATCATTGTTATGATAATAAATATTATCATGATTTATATCTATCATTATTCTAATTACAATAGTTTTATTTCTTATTTCTTATGTCATTGCTAATTTCATTCATATTATTATTATCAGTTCTTCTTATTCGTACTCTCCTTATCATTAATATCACAGTTATCATCATCCTCATCTTTATTATCATTATCATCATTATCAATTATTATCTCCTCCTCCTCCTCCTCCTTCTCCGAATTATATCCTCCTCCTCCTCCTCCTTCTTATTATCCTCCTCTCCGAATTATTATCCTCCTCCTCCTCTCTTCTCTTATTATCCTCCTCCTCCTTCTCCGAATTATTATCTCCTCCTTCCTCTTCTCCTCTTCCTTCTCCGAATTATAATCGAATCATTATCCTCTCCTCCTTCTCGAATTATTATCTCCTCCTTCTCCTTCTTCTAAGAATTATTATCCTCTTCCTTCTCCGAATTATAATCCTCTCCTTCTCCAAGAATTATTATCCTCCTCCTCCTCTCCTCCTCCTCCTCCTCCTTCTCCGAATTATTATCCTCCTCCTCAGAATTATTATCCACCTCCTCCTTCTCCGAATTATCCTCCTCCTCCTCCGCATTATCCTCATCCTCATTATCACTATTCCTAAAGCAGAATGAACAACACAGATATTTCACTTACTATATAAGTACTTATATATAATATATATATTAATAATATAATGATAATAATAATAGATCTATGTAAGCACTTATGTGGATCTTTTTTAATGCGGTATTTCACTTACTATATAAGTACTTATATATGATAATATATTAAATATATATGATAATAATGATAGATCTATATAAGTACTTATGTAGTCTTTTTAATATGATATTTCACTTACTATATAAGTACT